GGGATGGGATGACCGGTAATGGGTCGAATTGTTGAATGTTAAAATGTAACATTGTTTAAAATGGAGGAAAACTTGTGCTTAATTTCAGGGACGAAATTCTTTAAGGGGGGGAGGTTATAGCGATCCCGGGTTCTTACCCTTGTTGTACAGTGATCCGGACATGTGTCCGTGGTTGTTGGTAGTTGTTTATCACCTTGTTTGCATCCTCTTTACTTTGTATATTGAGTTATAGGATGTGTTGGGCAGATTTGTTTCAGGTTGGTTGTGTTTGGTCCTTTTGAGATCCTTGAGAGGATTGGTGAGGTTGCTTATCGGTTAGCCTTACCGCCGCAGTTGTCCGGAGTGCATGACGTGTTTCATGTGAGTATGCTTCGGAAGTATGAGCCAGATCCATCACATGTGTTGGATTGGACCGATTTAGAGGTAGATGAGGATGCTCGAGCGGTCTGGTTTGTTCTTCGCTCGAGCGAGAAGTCTGTCGCTCGAGCGTGCTTCTCGTTGCAGACCTGAGGGTTTGAGCTGTTGGCTCGAGCGAGCATTCTTTCGCTCGAGCGCACTTTTGAGTTTTTGGCTCGAGCGAGAACTTATTGGCTGGAGCGAGAGTTTTCTGTGTCTGGTCGCTCGAGCGACAAAGGCTTCGCTCGAGCGAGCGTGTTTTATATTAGCGGACAGTAGCGATTTTGAACTTCACTTTTTCACTTTCTTTTTTGATCAAACCCTAGATTCGAGACCCTCTCTCTCTAAACTTACACTCTCTCTAAGAATTGATCTCCCTAGAGTGTGAATCTAGCCTAGGGCCTTTGTTAAAAAGATAGAGGGCGTTGAGAGCTTTGTTTTAATCTGAAAAAGTTGGGATTTGGAACACGTTGATCTTCGAGTCTTCATCTCCTTTTTGGCTCAAACTTCGAGGTAGGGATATCCTACTCCTCTCTATGGATTTTGTCTTTAAATTTTAGTATTTTGAGATGTTGGGGTTGGTTTGGTAATTTGGTAAAAGTTTGGGGCTTTTGTGCAATTTTACAAAAATTGAGGTTTTATTCATAATAAACCTAGATGCATGATTGGAGTAGAGAAATGGAATAAATGTTGAATCATTGATGAAAATGGGACCTAAGGGTTGAAATGGTAATTATGAATAACAACCTAATTACATTGTTTAATTAATTGGGATAATTAATTGTGAGAAATGAGGAAATGAAATGTTGATTGAATATCCATTGTGCATTTATTTTCTGTTTAGAAATAACTGCTTTGGGCTATCGGTGGAGGATAGTCGTGATTGTTGTAGACAATGCATGATGATTAGGCAAACGGAAACTAATCAATGGAATGTGTCATGGAATTTGACGGTTGATAGAATACATTAACTGTATGTATTGAGTGATTGTATATAGAACCAATGTGTTTGTATACGTTATGTGTAGAGGAGGAGATGGGGGATGTACTCCGCAGTTTAGGGGAAGATAGGGGATGTACCTCTAAACCGGATAGTGTTGGGAGAAGATAGGGGATGAACTCTGTAGATACAGCTCATATGCTTGTCTAAAGAAGTGAAGATAGAGCTTATATGCTTATCTTTGTGAAGTGTGGATATAACTTATATGTTTATCTGTGGATATTGTGGTTATACATATCTGTTGTAGAATGTGGATATAGCTTATATGCTTATCTGAGAATGTGGATATTGTTGTTATACATATCTGTTGAGAATGTGGTTAGTGCTTATATGCCTATCCATTGAAAAAGGGAAAATGAAAAGTACCTTGGACTCATAAGTCGTATGACATAAATATGTGATTTATGTGAATGTATCAGTGTTGGCCATCTATCAATTGCTAATATTTTAGTCATTGTTTATGGTTGGTTTAGTGTATTTCTACTGGGCTGTGGCTCACCCTATATGGGAATATCATTTTCAGGTGCAGGTAGCATGCCACCTCCAAGGACATAGTTTGGGAGGCTAGAAGCGGACATACTTTTGTCGTTTTACTTTTTGATGTATTACATGTAAATTCAGGCCAAGGGCTTAATGTGTATGAGTTAGTACTCTTTTGTTGTAACCAAGTGTTAACTTGGAAAGCTGTAAGCCCATAGGGCATTTGCTTTTGTTGTTAACATGTAATACTTTTGTAATGAAACTCTGTTGTAATAAAGATTGTGGTTATCTCATATGTCAATGAATGTCTTATTTGATAGGTTTAATGTTACTATTTTGAGGGCATTACATATATTAAAAAAACCAAATCTACTTTAAATCATACACTCCTTTTAATTAAGCAATGTTAAATCAAGATTAAACTAACTACACCAATTCCCCAAATTTTACACCCTTTAATATTTTTTCATTTTCCAAAATTAGCTAATCAACATGATTTTTGTACTAAAAATCATTAAATTTGGTAAGGAGTACACTTTTAAACATTACAATATCAAAATCTTTAATTTAATACTTACCAATTTCTCAAGTTTGAACAAGACATAACAATATGCAGATCATTATTCATTAAATTTTAGGGTTTTGAAGCAAAAAATAGCATTTTAACACCAAGATGAGATTTTAGTCTTGAATAGCTCAAGAAAATTAGATTTTCTCTAACAAAAATCAATAAAAGAGACTACACAGCATTTCAATCATGGAAAATATCCATACAAAGGCAAGGCTTGAAGAGTATCAAAATTATGAAATACAACTCATGCTAGTGATACACTTTAAAAACTAAAGCCCTAATCATGTTTCTAAAGTAATAAATGGAAAGAATCCCTACCTTTGAAGAAGCTTTAATCAAAATTACAAAATCAAGGGAGGAGGTTGGGCAGTGAGGTGAAAACCCTTTTTCAATTAGAGGAGATCTCCTGTAAGGTTGAGCTTCAATTGCTCCACTAATAACCTCACGCTTCTAAGCTCCATGTAGCTTCTTATTGCTCCATGTGAGACTAAAGAAACTAGTGTAAGGCCAGTTAAGCATATATGAGATGGTTTCTTGCTAAAATGGAGCAAAAATAGAAGGAAACCCAACGGGGGAAAGGAAAGAACCCCACAGATTCAAGTTGTTTGGAGGGGTTTGAGGGTTGTCCTCTCTTTCCTTCTCTTGTATTTTGAGAGGAACTCCAAGTAAATCCCATGGGTGGGAGATCAGTCAAGGAAGAGAAAAAGCTGAAGCTGAAAATGAGAAAGGGAAAGCCTCTCGGCTGACAGAGAGGTTGCTGCCTCCTGTTTTGTGTACAGAAAGGAAAATGTTTTGCCACCCCTAATTTTGTACCACCAAATCAACACCTAGGGAAGTATTATAAATTACACCATTCGAAAATCCCACTAAAACATGAAAATTATTCAATGAATGATTGTCATGTCATTAGGAGTTGGTATTAAAGGTCCAAAATTAATAAGATGTTGCATCACTCGTACATAAATTACATACAAAAGAAAGACCACAAGGTGTAAGGCTTGGCCACCAACTATTCAACCTAAACACTTGTCAAAAGCCCACTGGCTAAGGAGAGAGGAGACATGAAATATCTTGCTACAATGATGCATACATAAGGTGTATCTCACAACAAAAAATTAAAATTAAAATGAAGGTCGCATGGCCTTGTCGGGCCACCAGGTTTGGGGATTAAAGTCTCCAACACAATCAATTTTAATTTAATGACAACTGATTTACAAAAGTAGAATTCATAGAATAAAACATTCAAAATGATGTGTCAATGGCATTTGTGAAATAATGAGGGACAATAGTGGGTGTTTCGATCAGTAATGCTATGCACGCAGAGGACCAAACACAAAAACTGCAGGACCAGACGACCAGCCGAATGACCAGGTGGTCGATTGGCCAGAGCTTATCGACCGTGGCTCTCATCTTGTTGATTGCGGCTATCATCTTGTCATCCGGTCGACCACCCAGTCATCTGGACGGCCGTCCAGCCCTACAGTTTTTGTGCTTGGTCCTATGTTTGATCCTCTATGGGCATAGCATTATTGGTGTTTTGATGGGTAATGAGAGGACTACAAGAAGCCACCTCTTTCTCCATAGAAATTCTGCACAAATTTCTGATTGTATGTCCTTATTCTAATTTAATTAGACAAGTTCCAAACCAAAGAATATAGTAATTTAATTAGACTAGAAATGGTAATGCATTTAATTAATTAATTATCACTAACAAACAAATAAATAATAATACCCTCTCTTTTCATTTGTTTTTTCTTCTTTTTTTCCCGTCTTTACACGACGTAGCCACACAGGTCCAACTCTCAATCACAAAAGCAACACAATCAATAAGACATCTCCAACTTTTATCATTAATTTCTTCAAATTCCAAGTTCTTAACTCTTATTAGCAGGTTATCAAAATAAAATCAAGAGATTAAGAAGAAATATTGCACAAATTTTAATTTATAAATGTTGTAATATATAAATTACACAAGTTCCAAACCAAAGAATATAGTAATTTAATTAGACTAGAAATGGTAATGCATTTAATTAATTAATTATCACTAACAAACAAATAAATAATACCACCCTCTCTTTTCATTTGTTTTTTCTTCCTTTTTTCCCGTCTTTACACCACGTAGCCACACAGTTCCAACTCTCAATCACAAAAGCAACACAATCAACAAGACATCTACAACTTTTATCATTAATTTCTTCAAATTCCAAGTTCTTAACTCTTATTAGCAAGTTATCAAAACAAAATCAAGAGATTAAGAAGAAATATTGCACAAATTTTAATTTATAAATGTTGTAATATATATATATATATATACACGCACGTACCCCGCTCTCCTTGACCTGTTTGTTGTACCTCAAATTATCCTCACGCGTCATCTCAAATTGCTGTTCTATCTCAAAACCCTTGAAGGGAAACAATTTAACCTTGTTGTCATCATCATCACCCAATTTCTGCGTTTTCGGCGATGGTTGTTTTTGTTCCGGAGAGGTTTCGGATCCAGAGGTACGAATAGCAGACATCTTTGACAGATTTTGGAAGGTGACTTTAGGTTAGGGTTAGTGAAAGAAAGATGAAGATGAGGTATTTGAGGAATTTGAGTTTTGGAGATGGCTATTTGTAGTTCTATTTGACCTAAAATAGTCACTAAAATAAAATATTTAATTATATTACTTTTTTTGTTAATTAAAATTTGATTTTGATTTTTATTTTTAAGAATTCACTTCTTAAAAAATTAAATTTTTTTGTTTTTCAATTTTTTTGTGAATTTTTTAATATTTTCAATAATTTTTTTTATTTTTATATACATCTAACATAAATATACTTAAAAAGTATAATATTTGTGAAAATAATTTAAACAATTCACTAAATATTAAAAACATAAGAAAAAAAAAAAAAAACTCAGTACATTTTTTATGTTTTCTTGTATTTATTAATTTTTTAAAATATTTTTTTACAAATATTTTCATTTTTAAATATATCTAAGTAAGATACATTTAATAAAATAAAAAAACTTAAAATTTTAAAAATATTCACTACAAATACAAAAATATGAGAAGAAAAATTCAACTTTGAAAAAAATAAATTCAGAAAATTAAAACTAAACACACTGAATAGTTAATTGCTAAACGAGTTGATAGCAGAGGTTGAGAAAAAAGATAAAATAAAATAAAATAAAAATTCCCTCATGGGTGTGAATTAGGTGATGAGACTAAGGTTAGTTATTTTTGAATCTTTCATTTTTTTTGAATCTTTTCTTACAAAATTTAAGATTGAAAAAAAATTTAAAAATCTTTCACATCTATATATTATATAAGGCCTAGTTTGGGAAGACTAAATAAGTGCACTTTTTGACTTTTTTTGTATTATGTGTAGAAAAAGTAGAGAGGAGATGTTGATTGATGTGACCCAAAAAAGATAAAAAGATGAAATAAGTCCACTTTTTTCTTTGTAGCCAAACTTAGCCTAAGTAAAAAGAAATTTTTTACCACAATCCTTATGAGAGCTCCAACATGTCATGTCAAATTTCTTAATTTTTCTAATTTCAAATAATTTTAAAATTTTCCATTGATTAGCCTTCATTTACTCATATAAAAAAATAAAACTCTAATTACTCTATAATTTATGGATTTTAAAAAGAAAATATACTAATTCTTTTCAAAATGCATATTTATGTTGCCACTAAATATAGGAAACAATTCACCATAATAGAAAAACAAAGATGTCAAATTTTAAATATTTAAAATTTAATTTTTCTTTAAAATAAATTTTCAAATATCTTATTCTCTCTCTCACATACCCAAAAAAAAAAAATTCTTACAAATTGTAAAAAATATTGTACTACACACAAAATTAAAAATAATAAAATATTTTTTAAAAATTATAATAGTTTCAATTGTATTTATATAAAAAGCCTTATCAGAGTACATATTTGTTAGTTTGTTAATTGTAATTCAATTAATTAAAAATGAAATCTTAGCACAACGTTTCATATATATTATAGTAGTTAATTTGTTACTACTATAGCTGTAAATAATAGCATAATAGATGCAGATAATCTCTTAATATAATTTCTACTCTTTTTTTATGTGATTGAATAGTCTATAACGGTTCTGGTTTTGGCCTGACCCATTTTATGTTCTTAGAACCAGGATTTTATATCTTTAGCTATTGCTTATACCTTTTTCACCTTGTTATTGGTTTGAGTTTGGTTGTTTAGAGTGGTTGTTTGTGTTTGAAATAAATTGGGAATAAGTTTTTCAAAAGAATTGTTGTCCTTGTCTTTTCTTGGTCGATTGAGTGACGCTTTGATCGCTCGAGCAGTCTTTGCATCTCTCCAGTACTTTTTCAGGTCTGTAAAACTTCTAGGAGTGGGTCGAGCTTCGCTCAAGTGAAGCTTTGGTTGCTCAAGCGGTCTTCTTCTATTTGTAAAACTTCTAGGAGGAGGTCATTATACACTCGAGCGGAGCTTTGGTCACTTGAGCGGTCATCCGATTTTGTGTCTTACACTCGAGCGAAGTTTTGATCGCTCGAGTGGTCTATGCGTATAATAAGTCAGGTGGAAGCTGTTTTCTATCACTTTTTCATCCCTTTCTCTCTCTAAAACTTCCTATAAACCTAATTTCTTCACTTTCTCTCTCTAGTTCTTGATAAAGCCCTCCCATATACCCTAATTGTAGCACTCCATACTTCTTGGTATAATGGAATTACATTTGACTCCTTGCTAATCATGATTGAGAACCTTCTTAGTCAATATTTAAGTCTTGGTTGAGGTGTTACCATAGTAGTTGGGCGAGATTGGATCAAAAATTTCACTTCCTATAAACCTAATTTCTTCACTTTCTCTCTCTAGTTCTTGATAAAGCCCTCCCATATACCCTAATTGTAGCACTCCATACTTCCTGGTATAATGGAATTACATTTGACTCCTTGCTAATCATGATTGAGAACCTTCTTAGTCGATATTTAAGTCTTGGTTGAGGTGTTACCATAGTGGTTGGGCGAGATTGGATCAAAAATTTCAAATTCGAATAGTTATTATTGGGTAGTCTTCACTCTTTTATCATTTTCTCTCTCCATACTTTTGAATCTTGATGTGAGGCTAGAACCATTGGAAAGTTTACTTTTGGGGCTTCAATTTGAATACAAGAATGACCCTAAACGGAGTCCCGGACGAGAGAGTTATACCCGTTTGAAATTTGAGAATCTGTGTTGTATGCATAGTTCACTTGAGCGCAAGTTTCACCGCTCGAGCGGTTGATAGACCCTTCCAACTCTGTTTTTCAAAATTGACCAAAACTCCTCCATTGGGCCATTTTTTGGTGAAAAACAGAGTCTATAATTTTATTTATTTTTTTCATAAACCCCCTCACCTGGAGGTCCATACTTGATGGAGGATGCACAAACATGCTTCTATTTCTTTTTGGACAATCTTGCCCTTCCATATAGACATGAGAGATTTGAGTGAGAAGATAAAAAACTGACTTAATGAGCAATATTTTTCTCAGCCACCACCATCAACGACTACTCTCTTCCATCCTTTCCCTTTCTTTCTTCCCATCAACCACCACCACGCTCCTTATCACCTATCTTCTATTTCCTCCCATCCTTTGTCTTTTTCCTTTCTCCCGCTACAACCTTTCTACCATGAAACCCCTCCCTTGCAACCTTTCTTCGCTAACAAGTTTGATGTTGGTCCGGTGATGTTCATAGTGAAGGTTTGTAGCATCGATGGTTGATTTGAAACTACAAAGATTTCCATTTCAATTTATATCCAAATGCCTAACACACAATCAAAAAATTATACACACAATATAATCAATTTTCTGGTACTTTATTTCAGGAGTACAAAGAGATAGATGGTTTAGTGGTGGTGACTTGGGTGGATTGATGATGCAAAATGGGGGGAAGTAAGTTCTTTTTATAAATATGAAAGTAAAATTTCATTTTTGGTTGTTGTGGTTGCTCTTTTAATATGTATTCTATTTTTTTTTATATTTTTTTTTTTTGTTGATGCTCTGTTCAAGAATGATAGTAAAATTTTATTCTGGTAGTATGTTTTTGAGTTATTTTTCTATTATACAAACTTTATTGTAAAATAGAGTAGCATTTTACCGTTACATCAATTTCGTCAGTAACTCTTTTTTTTTTAAAGAATTTCATAGGCAATCTAGATCTTATGGGATAGATTTTAATAAGAGAATTCTAAAAATACTAATTTTATTAAAAATCGACATTTAGATCAAAAGTCATATCATTTTAAAATTTAAAATATTAAATTACTCACTAAGAATATTTTATAATAATGATATGTGCTGGACTTTTCAAGATTTTTTTTATAATTGTTCTTAATGTATTAAAATTTTATTATGAAGGGGTTTTGACTAAATTTCCCCTTTAATATTGAGTGAATTAAAGACCCAAATTACTCTTTCAAGTAAAATAACTTATATTATTCCAATTAGAAAACAATGTTATAGCAAACAAAAATAACTCTCAAAGGTTCATAGTAAAGTTTAGAGGGGGCAAAAAAGCCCAGATAAAAGCATTAATGAGTTTTAGAGGGAGAGAGTACAAAGGACTAGCACAAACTTAGTTGTCAAATTTAGCAGCAAAATATCAAATAATCAAAATCAAGGAACCACATTCACAAATAACAAAATACTATTTGACAAATCAAATCCAATCATATTATAGAATGTTTGTTTTGAGAGTAAATTAGAACAAAAATCAAATGTTAAAGTTCAAAGGTAAAAAATAAAATAAAATAAATTAACAATCAAAGCAAAAGAATCATAAAATTTAAAGAGAGAAGTGTAATTGTAACAACCCTGACCTCTGATTAATGTTAATCCGTACTTAATTATGCCTAACAGTAATTTAGGAGGGATTTGGAATTTATTTGCATGTGCCTTGCATTATTTTGTATCTCTATCTGTCCGGTGTAGAAAGATCTATTCATGTTTTAGTTTCGATTTGCGAATTGAAAGCCTTATCGGCGTCTGAATCGGAAATTGACTTGATTTATGTGCTAATTAGGATTTATAGAATTTTATGGTAGGTTTAATTAAAATTCGGTTCGGAACGATTAAATTTGATTAAAATAATGCTATTTGCTTATTTTGAACAATTACCACTTCTTAGGCTAATTGAACCCAACTCACCTCTTTTATTCACTTTTTGATCACACTTGAGCTTTGAGAGGGAGAAAACGTGAGAGAGAGTGAGAGAAGGGGGAATTGGTGTAGAGCTTGAAGATTGGATTCACAAGGAGGGCAATTGCTAGGAAAACTTGGAAGATCACTCAAGACCATCTCTAGCTTAAGGAGTTGAAATCCCTAGGTATGAATGTTAACCTCTAGCCTTGAAGTTTGGTTGATTAGAACATGAAATTAATGGTGTTAGGTGGATTAACATGTGAATTGAACTAAAGGATGGGAACTAAGAGTGAATTTATGCATGCATGCATGTTTCATGGCATTTTGGAGATTGATTTTCAAGAATTTCTTCATGCATGTGTGGAGTCCATTCTAATTTTGGAAACACAATGAGTTTCATGTGATTTGGTAGCATTTGATCATGTTTTGGAGAGCCTTAGCTCAAAAATGTACTTGCATGTGAGGTTCATAAATTGAT